TTTCATGCATTCGTAAGCATTTGTCCTTTTCTATCATTATTGTCTATTGTTTATTTTAATAGAATAAATTAATACATAATTTAAATATGGTAAAATAATTTATTTTACGTTTAGCAGATTTAGGCGGGAAATTTAAAACCATTTCAGCGGATTTTCGGCGGAAACTGAAACGAACATGGCGGAATCCCTCTAAACACATCTGGTAACACTGAATGGCTGAGCGTTGTATAACCACCTCATTCTGCAATTTTAAGAAAAGATTTAAGTGTGCTCTAGTGACTCGTGCGATGTAGAGCTCTCATTTTAACAGAACAAGGCTGTCGAAGGTTTCATTGCTGAAAATTTGAAACAAATTTGTTTCTTGTTGTTACGGAAATAGGATTAAGAAGAATGTTTAATTTTGGTCTTTATATTATGTAAAATAACAATATACTCTAAGATAAAAGTACTTTAATAAAAAAGAATTGATTTAATGATAATTAATGTTCAATATTTCTCAGATTTTAGTAAATATTTTTGTATATTATAATACATATATATGTACATATTTTCCCAATTTTTAGTTCATAATTATCCAAGCCCTAGTGATGAAGCAATCATTCGTGCTTGCTGCCAAGCCCTAGTGATGAATCAATCATTTATAATGCTGGTAAACAAAAAAAACACTTTTAATGTTTATGTATTAGAATCATATAGGGGAACACATAGAAATATTGCGAGAATGTACCTTTAGTTAAAATTGTATGCTAATGAACTCTAATCCTCTCTTAGTAATCTAAGCATCGAAAGCCACAATTTCAATAAACAATATTGTTAGCAAAGGCATCGTATCTAATTAGAAACTTTTCTTACACAATGCCATTCTTTAGACTTTACACAATGCCATTATTATGAATAAATAATACTTAATTTTCTACAGTATCAGAAAGTAAAAGAAAAGTTTACTCCTTGAATTGTGAAATTGAGAGACGGATCGTGTTATTTGATTTCCCTGTCGATGCTACGACACAGAGCCAGACCGTGTTGAGTAATAAATTATAATTTTTAGGTGAAAGATATGATAAACGATGAAAATCTGATACACGTGGATTTTGAGCGACGAAAATGCAAGTTTCCACACGAAACAGATTCGAAACGATTTGACCGATACAGTCAGTCGGCGTGCGTTGCCGATTGTCGTGCTCGTTACCAACTGAAGTTCTGCAACTGCACTCATCACTACATGAATTGCAAGTATAGTATCTTCTTCGAATTTCTCCTCTGTCTTTCAATGACTAATATGGACTTTATATTCTTGTAGCGGAAAGTACAACGTGTGATGCACAAGGGTTGACATGCCTTTACAAAAATAACCATGGTAAGTAACTACGAGTATATATTTATGAAATAAGGAATATTACGGTTTTCTGTATTTTGGCTTAATATATTGTGTCATTGCAGTTCTGGGAGTATTTCGACTGAAAGGTCATGCGTACAGGCCCGGTATTGAATGTGACTGCCCATCTTCATGTGTTGAACCAGAGTACAACATTGTTTATAAAGGTTGTCACCGAGAACAGAGAAATAAAACGTAGGTACCATTTATTTTGTCCTTACCCTATTAATGCAAAGTTAAGAATGATCGGTATTGTCTCATAACTCAAATAATTCGTCCCAGGATGCAAATGAAACGGCATAATTTGAAACGACACAGATTATTATTAATTACCATCAGGAAATCATTCATTAGCATACACTGATGAACATTTTTTAGAATACCAACTGGGAAAAGAATTATTGGAAATTTTTGAATTTGACACTGCTTTCTGTGGTGTCTCAGAAAACACAAAAAAGGTCAAAGTACAAAAGTAACAACTTTTATTCCAAATGGCCACATGCCGCTTCCCAAATCACAAACCAGATGCAAAGCCTAGGTGCAGGATAACCGAGAGGTACACCAAAGAGTGCCAATTCGTCAATATACCAGAAGATGTCTAAAACGAATGCTGGGCCGATATACAATCAGAAGTAGTCCAAAATGCTAGGCTAGGTCGTTATACAACCACTTATGCAAATCTCCCTGCTCGGCTATCGCTCACGGAAAAAATGGTTGGGGGGTGGGGGCGCCAGCGCTGAGCGTGCCGCTTATCAAGAGCGCAGCTTTCGCCCCCCCCCTCCACGGCTGGCCCGAGAGAGAAGGAGGGGAGGTGCGCCCCCTCTGCCTCGCGATTCCGCTCCACCGCGCCCGCTGCAGCTCCTGGCGGCAGGGCGGTGAATCTCCCCTCGCCAGTGGCGAGCCTTTTTGGTAGAGGCGGTCTTTTCGATCAGTTTGACCGCCACTACACTTTCACTTTGCACATATGTACTTATACGTAAGAAGAATAGAGCAAGTTATGTAATGCTGCGGTAATTAAATTCGAAATTTTAACGGAAATACACGTATTAGGGTTCCCCGATTTGGAAAAAACAGTTTGAGGGCCACTCTGTGTGTGTCTGTCCCCTGTCTCTCTGGGTCTGTCTGAATCGCTCTGCAATGGTCTGTCTAAATGTATGTCTGCCTGTCTAGCATCTGTCTTTCTGTCTGCCTGTCTTAGTTCTTGCATGTGTCCGCCTGTCCCGTGTCCGCCTGTCCCGTGTCCGCCTGTCCCGTGTCCGCCTGTCCCGTGTTCGCCTGTCCCGTGTCCGCCTGTCCCGTGTTCGTTTGCCTGCGTGTGTGTGTCGGTTTGCGTGTTTCTGTGTCGAACTGCGTGTGGCTGCGTCGGTTATGGACCCCCTATACATCTACAATGTAGAAGATTTGGTTTTTGAAATATTACACGAAAGTATTTTTTTTCCATCTCTCTCTTGTTAATATTTACATTACGGACCTATTTATTATTGTATTTGTGAGTGAAAGTGCGTGAAATGATTTCTTATGAAGTTTTTCAAAAATTGAAAAGTTTTGTCATAATGAGCTCAGAACTGAGCATTTTCAGAAATGTTGAAACGTCATTTTCTAAAATAAAAAAATAAAAAAAAGATGGCAAATTTTTAAATGAAAAGCATGCAGAACTAGGATTTACTTTTCTATAATATTCTTAAATTATGCTAATAAGGGACCAAAAACTCAGAAAATGTGGAAAAATGTATTTTATGCGCCGATAGATAACAGCTGGCAAAAGGGTGGGGCAAAGCCGAAAAGCTAGCCCAGACTGAAGAGATAAGAAAAGTAACCTATACGAGAAAGTCTGTGCCATGCTGTAGCCCCACTAACTGATAGATGAATTGCAACTCACACATAAAAACTACCAAGATCAATTACATTCCAATTACGTAATGAATTTGGTCTTGAATACGACGTAATTAAAAATGTCGGCAAATTAGCCTTTAAACTATACATTGTATGATATTAATTAAAATTTAGTGATTTATTTTTTATTATAAAATTTAGGGTTTATTCTATAAAGACTGTTGATATGAGCAAGCGGTAACGCATCCAAGTCCCGATAACTTTCATTTAAAGCAAAACATCACAAACTTGGTTGAGTAGAAAAGTCAATAAAAAGAACGAACAAACACCTTTGTATTTTAAAAATATGTATTCACTTAATTTCTTGAAACTGTTTTTATTAGATAGGTAATTCCCTTAAAACAAAAATTAAAATACGTGTATTTTTTCTTTTATATGTTTTTTTACTTTACTTTATGATTTAACATCTTCTTTAGAGACGTACACGCACTACACTGGAAACGAATCCGCCTCATTCTTATGAGCCAAAGGGACACTTCGCTAAACACATGAAAATCTCATGTAATTCAGAGACGTATCCCTCCACCGCGACAGCTGTTCAGCCACGCCTCTTCGGAAAGTGGTTATGTTTGTATATGGCTCCCGTTAGGACATCAAGGTTCCTCATAGTTCACGACCGTGTATTTATATAAAAAAATGAATTAATAAAACGCAATGCACGGAACTTACACTATCACAGCTCGCCACGTTTCCGCACAGGAGCAGGAAGCATGTGCAACAGTACGCATCTTCAGGAGGTTTTCAAATAAAGATGATACTTACAAACATTTTTTAATTTACTTATAAACAAAATTTTTTAAAAATATTACATTGAATTTACTTCTTATGTGATAAACATAAGAAGTAAATTCAATGTAATGTTTATAAAAAATATTTTTTACAGACTAGCACAGTAGCACTACACTTCCTAATTTCAATTATTTCTCGTGGCGCACTATATTTTCGTCGGAGAGGACATCACAAAAGGAAGCGTCGAAGCCATTTACAAGTTAGCCAACTGCAATGGAACGAATGAAGGAAGGAGAGTCAAATAGGCCGAAGAAACAACGACTACAGAACCTTCAGTTACCTTGCCAGCTTTAGCTGTCAAAACGGTTCTTATAATCGCTCTATACACACATGCCGGGGGATCGTCCGTCCTTAGAGCTTGTCTCTGTTGGGACGGTCTCTATCTTGGTTGGAGATACCTGATTAAGGAAAACTGTTAGCGTAAGTAACGAGAGGACAAGGAAAAGGAAGGAAAGATCGTGCGCGGTCCGCGGTCCGTTTGTTAGGGTACTGCTTTGGCATTAACTTGATACTCATCCCGGAAAACCACCTATCAAAGCAACCGGCCACTAGAATTCTCTTTCAGACATCGACTGAATTCGACCCAGATATCTCGCTAGTATCGAAAAATTCTGCCACCGACGGGACTCAAACCTAGGACCTCACGATCACAAGCACTGTAGTGCCATCACTTGATGCCTTAGGCCAACTCTCCCGGTTATGTTTGTGGTGTCATGGGATCCTGAAACGAGGTTTTCCGAGAACATTTCGACATCTATTTTCTGCAGATTACATAACCTTAACCGTACTCAAATCACGTGCCTTACACCGTATGGCAGTAGCGTGGGTTAATGAGTGCGGGCCCGCCCACAAAACTTTTATTCGGGACCCCTTTATAAAAGTGTGTAGCCAACATTGTGTTGATTACTTAAATAATAAAAATATTCCCTAAAATGGCCTCTTTTTAACCTGGATTAGCAGGCATTGCTGGCCCAAACTCTACGCAATTGCCGTATGGTGTTTAAAGCTCTCCGAGAAAGCATAAAGGCGTATTTTTATTTTAAGTTAATATAAATTGGAAAATAGAACATAAACCTTTATTTTGTTCTAGCGCCTTTATTGGAGCTGTGAGGATACAAATGGCCTCATTGCCAACGATGAGATTTAAAAGAATTTTAATTAGAAGTAAATTAGATTTGGTAGGTAAGTACGAGTGATCAATTGTTTTATATATATTTACATTACCTGTGTTGGTAGGCTATTTTTAATGGCTTTGTGTTTTTTATTTGCATGTTTTCATTTAAGATACAACTAACGCAAATATTTCCCATAACTACCTTCAAAATAACACTCATAAAATTCTCCGCGTAGATTTATTGCACATCGAGTCCAGTAAAGAGAAATTTGAAAAACTGAGTGTTTCCAATTTGGGATATCGGTTGCCTAACTTGAACTGCTAGTCTCTAAGATGAATCTCAAAAGAAATGCTCGAGTAATTATAGACAAATTGGAAGAACTATTGTATTTATTGTAATACAGTGTCCCCTCAGCTTGGTTCCCATGTCTAACTCTTGACTGGACTCAAAACCAAGCTCAGATATTGGGCACCGAGTGACGTATTGGCTTGACGTTCTTTCTCCGGCTATGGAGATCTCTATGGAGATTGGACAGCGCTGGGTAGGACATGATGTGGAGAGGTTCATGTATGAACAATATAAGTATTACTTTCAACGCGCATTGTCTGACGAGAAAATGCTCGTTTATTAACGTCAGTTTACGTAAGCAATAAGGCATGCGCTCTCATTTTTTGTATTTCCTTAACATCTATCTTTTTCTTACTTAACTAAGTTTACAATGCAAATTCAATTGTCTTCCCTCTGTAAACCGATGTTGGTATCTAGTAGATCGATGAACTCCGACTCCATTTGACGGATCAAAGTTGGTAGATCTACGAGTGTTTTTGTGGAGAAGGTTTTTATGCTGCTCCTGTAGCTGTAATGCCACACGATGACGTTTCATTTAAATGCAATTCCCAATCCACCTGAGCTTTATTGTTGCTGGAGGTTGCCGTGAGACGCGAGCCGAGGAAAACGAGGAGAGAGAGAGTGGGCGGCAAGGGATGGAGGGACGAGCGGGTAAAGAGAGAGAGAAAAGAAAGGGGAAAAGAGAGAGTTTGAGGGGGGAAGAGAGAGGGGGGAAAAGATATAGGACAAAAGAGGGAGGAGAAAAGAGAGAGAAAGAGAGAGGAGAAAAGAGAGATGAGAAAAGACAATTTCGTTTCAACAAATTTGGTGAAAATCAATACGAATACGTTCGAAAATCTTCATTATGCCTTCAATTGCTTTCATTTCTCTTCAATTACTGAATTCTACCTGGCGGAGCTGTCGCTGAGAGGCCATTAAGTTGCTGCGCTACTCTCTGAATCTAGAGTCTCTAGGCTGTCGTAATATGTACCCTATTTCCCTCAATAGAGCACCCCCACACACAAATACTTGTATTGAACACAATACATGTACATGTTGAACCAATAGTGAAAACTCGGCCATTAGGATAATTACAACGGGTTCATTACAGGTTTCTTTTATTCTCCTGTTCCCTCTATCTCTCATTTCACCATTGTTTAATAATAATTGACACCATGTCTTTACTTATCATAATCATCCATTCGTGGCTTTCAGTCTTAGGCACTGACTTCGTAATAAAGATTTGGATATGCCAAAGAGGACATAATTTGCTTCGTATTATAAGTAAGGTAGAACTGAGTTTTAATCAGTGGCGGCTCATGTTTCTCATGCTTGGGAGGGCTGCATTAAAAAAACAAACAACCTTAGCTATTTAAAGTTTAAATCCATCCGGGGATCTTTCTTTGCCGCAAAATGTCAGCTACTTTCTGGTTGAATTGTGGAATGTTTTCTGTCATTTACTTTTCTATGAACAATATGGCAAAGGCACCTAATATATTTTCTCCCATTGAATTACATTGAAATGTTTTAATTCTTTTCAATGTTGAAAAGCAACGTTCAGATTCACCTGTTATCAGGATCAGTGTATTAGGTATTATGAAAAGTTTTATCACTTAAGAAAAAGGGGAAAGAAGATTATTAGCTTGAAGAAATTGCAGAAACTTTGCAGCACTGCCAATACTTGTGAACTCTTCTCGTGAATAGATGACCGAACGTTTTGTGCGAAGTTTGTCTGTATCAAACACGGAAAATAGTTTTACACACTTTTTGAACAAACGTTCTGGGGGTTTATATTATATTCTACAAAATTGCAGTCGTGCAGCTTCCCCCATGAGCCGCCACTGGTTTTCATTGATATATTTAAGGTAACTCTCTCTTAACCGCAAGGTAGCAACATAAGGTTGTAGCTTTTAAAATGAATGAATAAATTACCGAACTCTCCTCTGAATGAGAAAGAAAAAACAAAAAACCTCGTGTCATTGTATAGTAACAACATTCCATTGTGGAAGAGCCTGCGACGAAATGGTAAAATTACAAAGAAAAGCGTAATAATAATAATAATAATAATAATAATAATAATAATAATAATAATAATAATAATAATATGTTTTGTGTTCTAGTGGCTGTTGGAGGAATAGCAAGCTTATTTTTGGGTGCAAGTTTACTGAGTGCTGCGGAAATAGTGATGTTCTTCTGCGTTCGTCCATTTTCAGAGAGTTCTAGTGGGAAGTAAATTAATTCATTGACGATTACTACTTACAATGATGTGTGCTTCTTTATCATAGTAAAACTATTAATAGTGCACTTCAAATTTAAATAAAATTGCGATTGCACTGCGCACGATTACATAACGTTTTCTTCTTACGAAGAATTCGTACGGCAAGGAAGTAAAAAATGGATTGTAAAAAAAATTAAATAAAACATGCCGGAGATATTAAATTTTTAATCCTTGATTCGTACAATTTGATTTTTATCTCTGACAAATTTTTATCACTAAAAACTAACTTACAACACACAAATGTTTACATCATTCATGTTCTATTGCTCTCGATAATATTAAATAAATAATATAAACTACATATCAACAGTACTTTATTTGTTAAACCTTCCTATCATTTATTGTTTGATCTTAAACCTTCCATTTTGTGCTTAAAATTGCTGAAAGAGGCGGGGCCCAAACGCAGTATCCGTCACAGGGCTACCGTGTTCGTAATAACACGCAAAAGCAGATGGGGAAATCAATATGCATTTACCATTTTATATCTGATTGTTGGTTTCTATGGCACTGGATGTGCCATTTCCATACTTAATAAAGATCCGGATAAACGTAACATTCAGCCATCTGTCGCATTCACTATATGTGGCACATAGAAGTAAAGAGTTATTTAATAACACAATACAAAACACAAAAACTAGACAAACACACACGGTCACAAAAAACAGATTGAAAACAAAACTATCAGTACTCATTTGAGTTAAATTTCATAATTGTATCACGATATCGTTTCTGGGTGTGATATAATTATGATCATTGGAACATCCAGTTAGCAACACTTATAGTGCAGTAATGGTTATTCGTGCACCTCGGGCGGTGTCAGGGTTCTTAATGATAAACTCAAGTGTAATTGCCGCGAAATCATTAGGACCAGTTAACGCCCGTGGTACATACAAGATTTTATTCTTATGTAATTTTAATGAATCAGACCTATTTAATTACCTAGATGTTAACTTGACTTGGTTTGTTTTTTCATATCTCCCATAATTCTGTTTCATACTTCCCTCTCATAACTCGTCTATGAAATGTAGCATCATTCAACTGTTTCGATATTTCCATCGTAACCGCAATCCTCTCGATCCATTTAAGTTATGCAGTGTATATCCAGCTCCGTATCGAAGGCGATAAGAAGCAATAACGTATCAGTAAAAAAATAAAAGTTGTTCTTGTCCAGAATCAAAATAAAGGACAAAGGCAAATTTGTTTAATGTGTCAAGGGCATCTCTGGCCGAAAATCACGATTGCGAGGTGGGGAGTGAGGAAGAGGGAGGCGGGGTTCGACGAAGAGATATCTTATTTACAAAAGACAATGTTTGTTTGATCGTGCTTAATGCGCTGCTGGTGTTCATTCGATTGCGATAAAACTTTGTCAACTTACCACTTGCACTTCCGGGAAGAATATAGAATATGCCTACGCACATAGACGCATATTGATGATGATTTTATGTAGACTCAAAGGCGTTTTATGCTACGGTGCGCTAGAGAGAGTCTTCCGTCTTTTGAAATTTTTGCAGAGCGTAGCATCAAACGTGATTTACAATCACATGACCAGTCGCATGTGAAGTGTAGTACATTGCAATAGCGAAATTTGCAGAATGTGTTTATTTAAGCGTTTGACAGTTTTTACAGATAATTCAGGCTGAATACCTTCGTGTAGCATCGCCAATGGGAGATAAAGCTATTTTTTCCTAAGCTATGTGCGTATAAGAGAGTAGTGTATAACATAAAATCACATTTTCAAATTTTGAACTTGTTGAAGTTTTTCACTGAACCCTTCAGTTCATTATTGTTTTTTAATAAAGAATTGAACCTTTTAAAAAATATCTTAAACAATTTGTCGAACAAATTAATTTTGTGAAAATCGATTGCCAATAGATTTTTTGTAATATCAAATCCCTGGAAAATGAAATTTGATTTCACGCGAAAAGACAATCTTCGTGAGTTAGTTTTCTTTGGTTGCTTGTTTCCGAGCGCATCAATTACTATGATCATCTGTCCCGTAAGTGAAGTGCTTGATTTTTAGCTCAGGAGTTGGCGGTGATCTGACCGTACATCATATACACCATACGGCTGAGAAGCTTCATAACTGACAACCTGGAATGCGTTTGAACTGACTAGTTCAATTATTTGATCACTTTACGTAAGAACCTTCAGAGAGAAAACAAACACACACACACACTATATATATATATATCATTTCATACGTAAGTGTCTCTATTTTTTCTCTGCAAACCACGTGATTTAAACTCAAGTTAGTGATCAAGTTGGAACATTTATTGGGATATGGTGACAGCGACTCCTTTGTTGATCACCAGTACGGCTCCACTTGGAATGGTGCTATCACCTGAAAACATGTCCGTTTGTGAACTCAATTCTGTTATTCGCTTTTTCGCAACGAAAAATGAAACGAATCAATATCCATCGCCAAGTATTGTTGGCTTACCGTGAAGGATGCATGAGCATCCAAATGGTTCGCCGGTGGCGTTCTTTATTCCTGGGAGAACAAAATATGCAGGATGACGAGCGGAGCGGCAGACTCGTTACCGCCTCAGACCATGCGGTCTCTGTTGCAGTTCGAAATGTGGTGGACGAAGATTAACGCGTCAGCATTGATAATAATTCGATTGCATCCTGGGGTCGAAATTGGACGCTCCTCTAGTGGGACGATCCTGTCAGATGTCTTGCAGTATCGAAACGTCTGTGCAATATGGGTCCCACGTTTGCTTAATAACTCTCACATGCAAACGTCCTGGACTTGTGTGTCGGAAAGTGTTGTTCTTTCATATGTTTCAACGCGTGTCCCCACGCAGATGGAAGGGCCCTGGCTTTTCTGCAGAATTTCAAATGGGACCTGAATCCCCATCTTATCCCATCCCTCCCAGCTTTGTCTGTAGTCTGCAAAGTTACAACTCAATAGAACCTTAATATGGGATTTTTCGACCAAACATTCGGGATCATGTGGTTGACATGATTCCAACTTTTACTACAGTATAGAGGGAAAAAGTAAAAACGTGATCTTCGAAAATCTGATGGTAGAAAATTGTTTTCAATCCGTGAGCCAGTATGAAAAAAATATAATACTGACTGCGTTGTCGCGAGGCAAATTACTCTGTGGATCAGAGAAAAGAGGCGAAATCGATATTTAGGAATGCTGTCACACAATGCAATGTATATCTAGGCAGATCTTCATTTATGATGGTTTCTTTTCCGTTTTTTCTTACGCGCTGGGTAACTAAAGAGCAGTTGCGACATATCATGACCGTAACGATGCTTCCAAATTGCCCAGAAATCAGAAATACTTAACAATTGCATTCGATTCTCGAACGTTTTGATTGGAACTTAGAAAGCTTTTCGGACTCGGCTATAAGAGTAGTGTCATTTTATTACGGAATGTATTTAAATGTGTTCTTGGGAATCTGCAGCTCTTATTTATAAGAGAGGTTGTGTGGTTATCTTTGAAGGACGCCCAAAAAGTAGTAATATGCGAGGTTTCCAATTAAAAATAGTTAAATCAATTGTGAAGAATTACCTCGACAACAGCTCAATTCATGGTCTTCGGTATCTGGCTGAGAAAGATCGCATGGTATGGGAAAGGTAAGAAACCAAACACTCATTAGATTTTTAAATGGTAAACCTCGGTAATTGGCCCTTTAATACATAATGAATTATCATATTCACGCCAGTCCTTACTTTGTTAAGTAATTACGAACAAATGCTACTTTTATATTGTAACAGAGGAGAAGTTAACTAATTTATTGCGCGTAACGATTCATTATGGGAACGTTGTCAATTAAATTATTATTTTTGCGTTAGGTTGTTTTGGCTTACTGCAGTAATTGCGTCGTGTTATGGCACTCTTCTACTCACCAAATCATCGTACGATGCGTACAATGATCATCCGATCAGTTTCGCGACAGAAACCGATTATTTATATTGGAATACAAATTTTCCTGCAGTGTCTGTGTGCGAAAGGGATAACCCCAATATGATCGTTGTAGAAGAATACGTGAAAAAGTATGTTGTTAAGAACTGAGATTCATATGGACTTGCTTCTTCTGAAAACAGATTTTTATGTACATATGTTTTGCAGAGCGTATCCTGACAAGATAGAAGACTACGATTTCCATGGTTTGGTTTACAGCATTGTCTATTCCACAGGCAACTGCGAAGAATGCAAAGTATACTGTCGTGAACAACCAGATGCTTGCCGCCTGAATTTTAAGAAAATGATGTTTGACGTGAGCTGATTTGTATCTCGTGTATTTCGGAAATGATCATTTTGTTTAAATTCTTCCTTTGGAAAAAGAAACGCTTTCGATATTTTTTCATAATCTTGAAGAATTTGTCTGATTGAATTATTTCTTTTAGATATTTCAAGACTTATCGCTCTAGCCTTCTAGAGAAATGAATAGAAGTAAAGTTTAAAATTTCACTTTCCCAAAGGCAATGCAAAGTTTGATTTCAAACACAATTTCATATTAACGAAACTCCACCTGCTTAGCAGTTTGTACCATGGCTGATGTCTCCTCTTACGAAATTGTTACATTAGGCGACAGTATGGGCGTAGTTCAGTGTAACTACTTTCAGAACTTGGTATTCTTGTGACATTATTAAATTTTATCTCCTCATAGCTGATGCTTGTAGTATTACATATTACGTATAAATAGAAGCGCCGTTTCTGAAACGGTTTGTTCTCTATTAATTCATTTGACTTATTGAGAATAATCATTAATGTTTCAATATATCTGATTTTTTTAAAAGAGACACATTAATATAATTTTTTAGTACTTTATTTTATTTAATTTTACCTTTATTGGTGTCTTTTTAAAACAATGTATCTAAAATAATTTTAAGATAACTATTAGTAACAAATTGTGTAACTGTTTTTAAATAGTTTTTGAAAAAGATACAATAGTGGTCGCAATGTTGCATAAAATAAATTACTATTGTAAAATGTAGTATTAACGTGTCCGTTTTGTAAAAGATATTCAAATATTTATGTTTTAAATATTTGTAACGTGGTAATAGACTACGACATATTCCCAAAATGTTTTCATTCTTCTCTTTCATTACCTTTAAGTATGTATAAACAGATGTATGTTTGTATGTATGCTTTTTCTCAATTTCCAACACATGTCAAGATGAAGGCCAATTAGTAGCATTAGTAGACATATACGTGCAGAATTGTGCAATTAAAACGGTACAGAATCGTAATTTGCCCCTTTAGCCTAAAAGGGACAATGAGTAAGGTCGAAATGCTGGTTCACCTGTGTTCATATACCACACATCCTCTGTTCTCCAAGTTTTACTTAGGCTCAAACGGTGGGAAAAAATAGCTATTTTTTTACAACAAAAGTGCCAAAACCAAAACAATTCTTCAATTAAGGGGAATCTTAGAAGAACCAAACAAGTCCAAAATTCCATATTTTGCGATATTTCACAAAGTTATTTTCTACAACTGCCGCTCTCGTCCGGGACACATATCTCTATTGGCAGTGCCAAACTCATTGAAATATATAAGGGGCGAAAACATAATGAATTAACTACCACGTACGCCTATGTCGATTTTTGTGTTTCCTGATAATCTCGAATTTGGACTAGATTGGATCGTGTAAGAAACTCTTCAACTGTAACTAACCTACGGTAGCGGTGAGAGTGGGATTATACAAATTTAACTGGTCCTGTTCACCTTCTTAAAAATCCCCAAGCTTACAGTATTGACGTGGGTGCAAGATGGGGAGGGGAGATCGATGCATAATTTACGATTAAAACTGGGTTAGGCTTGTGAATACAGTGGGGATATACAATATTTTACTTTTACAAAGGCCACTACACTTTTATGTTCCATAGTTCACAAATTACTTTAATTAATTTGTAAAACATAAAATATAGTACTACAAAAATTAATACATATCCTCCAAATTATTACAATGACCCAATGCTGATTTTTTACAAGACAAAAATTATGAACAGTTTTTTTGTACGTCGTCTCTCCTTATTTTTATTAGGTTTTAATTTATAGTTTCACATAATTTCATGTACTACGTAAAATGTCAATATTTTATTGTCTTTTATGCCTTAGATTCGTTTGCCTTGTGAGCAACTTCTAAAAGACTGTAGATGGAACAAGGAAAGTTTTAACTGCTGCTCTAAATTTATTCCAATAGAAAGTGAGAGAGGACTGTGTTTAGCTGCTAATACAATGTAAGTTCAAAGAGTAAAAACCAAGTTATTTAATACTTTTATAAAAGGAAATATCTGATATTTAAAATAATTTCAGACACACAGTGAATAGAGCACCTCTGATGATTTCAAATAAAGATACTGGCCCTGGAGTACTGGAATTTAAAGTGACACGTTTTTCAGAGGTAATATATTTCAAGTTTTTTTTTTGCAATTAATGTTCATGGAACTGAACCTTGGTCTAATGAAATGCTATTACTGGAGAAGAGGAGGAGGAATACTCAAATATTGACGATGCGATAAGTCTGAATATAAGCATTTTTTTGTCATTTCATTGACATTTTTGACTAGTGATGCTACAAAATTGCACAGACTCTCTCAAATAGTTTTCTGTTCTCTTGAATCGAGGCTAACTTAATGGTTTCGCTCCATCGTCTTCCCAGCCGCTACGTGTAGTGCCTAGTACACCTAACACATGCATGTGTAGACTATTTACTAAGGCTAACAAATTACCTACGGACTTGATGTAGGAATCATGGGACGTTGTTTAAAATGCTGTTGTCACAAATGAAAAATGAAATATATTAGAGGAAAGCAAAGTTCAACCCACTTCCAAAAAATCATAATAAGAGCATCATGAAAAATACACGTTTCACGGACTATACGGAGAGCCATTGAAGTGGGTAGTAACCACAGAAGGCTAAATGAAAAGGATTTCTAACATCCCTTAAAATCACTAAGCAGGCTATCCCTGCAGCACTCACGACACAAGGAAAAAAGAAAAGAAAAAACAAAACAAAAACGGAAGCGTTCAAATAGGCTCGTAGCGCGCAGGTACGCGACGGTCACGCTCGGAAAGCGCTACAAAGCAAAGGCATTGGACGTAAGAAGTTTTATAACTAACGAAAACAGTATCTGAGGGTCAAAATAATTTGAATTTGTAGGGGGCTTTGGGAGGAAATTATATATGTATATATGTGTGTATATATATAATCTGCCCCCCTTGTTATATATAACAAGTCTTCAGTAATAACGTCTTTGAACTGGGGTTTGATTTTTGTAATAAGGGTGAATGAACTCGATGCTATAGCTTTTGCTTTCTCCTTGCCTAAATGGTCAGAACAAGAAAGGGTAACAAGTTTTAAAATTTTCTATAGCCTTATTCTTCATGCAGCAGTGTCCAAGTGTATAGTAGGGATGATTCTTAAAATATATGAGATTGGAGATTTTGCTCATCGACAAATGCAAGTATGCGAGAAATATTATATAGTTCATCTTACATCCAAGTATTTCTTGGTATAAATTAATTAGAATATAAAATATAACGTAATTGTGTAAGTAATTATTCTCGTAATTAAATAGTTTCTAAGTTAATTAGTATTATTTCCAATCATATTATTATTTTAAATAATGAATTATTGGCAATTATTCTAATAACTATTACTTTTTAAAAGATTCTTCTCCATGGCCTTCACGATGTTCCTTCTCATTCTATAAGACCTGAACAGGTAATGCAGTTGCCTCGTCTCTCAGAATGTAAACTTCTTTTCACTGTGAGTATTTGATATTTATCGTAATTCGAATACTTCCAATCACGGGAATCATTTGAAACAAATTTACGTTCACTTAGGTGAAGGAAATAAAAAATGATGCTTTACTGCAATACGAGGATTTGGATAGGAGAGATTGCCGATTTCCTCTTGAAAATCCATTAAAATTCTTTCCTTACTACAGTTATTCCACATGTGTTACTGAATGTCGAGCTATGCATCAAAAATTGTTTTGCAATTGCACTCATCACATGATCCCAAATAGTAGGTACATCCTTTTCAGTATACCTCTCTTCTCATTTTTAAATACAAAATCCTATACTTGTTTATGCACTATAAAATAAATTTAAATATGACTGTAGCAGAAGCGACATCATGCAATGCATCAGGATTAGCATGTGTCTACGCTCGTACAGGTATGTGCAGTACAATTTTTCATAGTTATAATTGATACAAGTTTGATAAAGAGAAACATTTAAAACATTATTCATGTCACAGACCTTTTAACATTTCGAACAAAAGGATACAAATTGAAGAAAGGCATTGAATGTGATTGTAACACATCATGTGTTGAACCAGAACTTAATGTTGTGTACAGTCATTGTGAGGATGTAGACGAGTAAGTTTTGGTTTCTGAATGTCCGTAATGTAATGAAGAAACTTTACAATCATTAGTATTTGCAATTCACATTTGAATAATGTTGATTCGCCTTTTGTTTCAGTATGGAAGGCGCAGGGGGTGACGTCACTATACAAATGGCATCTTTACCAACGGAACGATTTAAAAGAAATCTAATAAAAAGTAAACTAGATTTAGTTGGTAAGATTTTACAATATTTTGGAAGATAATCATTAATTATGCAGCCCCTATACTTGTATCGTTTAGTGGAACGCCCCGCTGAGGGATATACCTAGAGGGAGAACTCCCCCAGAAGCCGACGTGAAGGTCGGCGCCGTACCTCACCATACACCATACAGCGTGCAACACTGCCTCCTTTCGAGATAAAACACTCTACACTAACAAGTCTAATGAACACAGCAGTTGGATTGCTCGCAAACATCAATCAATGAATCAATGAATGAATGAATCAATCAATCAATGAAGCAGTCAATCAATGAATCAATCAATCAATGTAGTCACTCTAATGAAAAAAGGATGTGACTGTAATAAGGATGTAAAGATAATTTGATTAAATAGTTATCAATCTCAAACATATATTATATAATTCATATGTAAAATCAAGTATACAAGAATCGGGGACTCATTTGTTCTCTTCAAGTTCTTTCATTATTATTTATTTCTCACGTGTGATATACAATATTCGATTCCATATTAGTCATAAATAAAACTTTCCCGTACACTTAAAATATTTTACATTTAAAATCCGTCCGTTTACGTTTCGAGCAAATGTTTAAGTAGGCACTTCTATCTTCGAACAGTTTTTTTTAATTTTAAGTACTAATCCCTTTTATTTCTTTTTTCATGTTTTCGAAATATATACTTACACAAAGAAGCAGACAGAATCATTTTCTTAATACGAATGATACATAACTCATTTTTAAATTTTAAAGGAAGGGGATACAATTTTTTTTAATGTTCAGAGAGTCGCCCCCTCCTTGCCGTACGATAACACGTGGACAGTGTAAAATTACAGCTGTCTTCCCTAATGCACAAAACACACACACACACACACACACACACACATGCTCGCACACACAACCACAGATATTTTCCTCTGGTGACTCAATGATGTATACATAATATTAAAGGCTATTAAATTGCAGGAAAACTACGCGAAGAGGAATGGCAGAAAGATTTGTCGAAAGACATGTGAAGAGATTGGGCAAAACGACTTAATAATCTAGATTACATATTTCCAATGCACCTAGAAATTGAAAGAAAACTATGAAGCCTCTGGCCATATGCGAGGTGTCTATGGATTGGTTAGATATCCAGAAACTCGGAAAAAATACAAAAATAGTAAAACAATTTGGATTTTGTCTAAAAAATGCGAATATTTGATATTCCGTCAATTCTCATTGTGCGCGGGCTGACTGCATTCTCATATTCAGTGTGTCACTGCTTTCTACACACTCAACATCACCCGGAGCGGTGTCTCAGGATATCATCTGATGTCACTGCAGTGCCTCTGACTGGGAGGTTCTAGGTTTGAGTCTGGATGGTGGCAAGAGTTTCGACAGTAGCTTGATAGCTGGGTAGAATTCTGTCGCTGTCTAGAGGAGAATTTTAGCAGACGACTGCTCCGATCGCTAGTTTTTTTTGGTTTCCCCTATCAATACCGAGTAGATATCCAGAGCAATACCCTAGGAAACGGGCCACGGACCGCGTGCGATCTTTCCTACATCTTTTTTGTCCTATTCACTCCCCTTACCGCACATGCCGAGAGACCGGTCGGGAGCTTACAGCTTGTCCGACGGGGGCAGTGCCACGCTGGGAGGAGCTGGGATTATAAGTGACACGTTCTTTCAGAGGTAATATGATTCAAGTTTTTTTTGCATATTAAATTTCATGGAACGAACCTTAGTCTATGAAATGCTATTACCTGGGAGAAGAGGAGGAGAAATACTGCAAATATTGACGATGCGGATAAGTCTGATATAAGCATTTTTTTTGTCATTTCATTGACATTTTTGACTAGTGATGTGACTACAAAATTGCACCAGGACCTGCTCAACTAGTTTTCTGTTTCTTGATGAGTGCTAACTTAAGCTGTTGTCGCTCATCGTCTTCCCAGCCGTACGTTAGTGCCTAGTGACACGCTAACCACATGCATGTGTAGACTATTTTACTACAGGCTAACAATTACACTACGGATTGGAATGTAGGAATCATGGGCACGTTGTTTAAAATGCTGTGTCACAAATGAAAAATGAAATAATAAATTTAGAAGGAAAAGATAAGTTCCAAACCCACTTTCCAAAAATAATATTAAGAAAGGCCAATAATAAGAATTCCCATGAAAAAAATACACGTTTCCCGAACCTATACGGAGAGCGCTTGAAGTGGGCTAGTGAACCACAGAAGGCCTAATGAAAAAGGATGTTCAACACGTCCCTTAAAATCACAACGCAGGCTATCCCTGCAGCACTCACGTACACAAGGAAAACAGAAAAGAAAAAAGCCAAAACCAAAAACGGAAGCGCTTCAAATAAGGCCCCGTAGGGGCGCAGGTACGCGAGGACGATTGGAAAAAAGCGCTAACAAAGCAAAGGCACTTGGACGTAAAGAAGTTTTATAAGCTAAACGAAAACAGTTATCTCAGGGTCAAAAATATATCTTGAATTTGTAAGGGGCTTTGGAGAAACATTAAATATATGTATATATGTGTGTATATATATAATCTGCCCCCTTGTATATACAACAAGTCTTCAGTAATACGTCCTTTGAACTGAGGTTTGATTTTCTGTAATAAGGGTAATGAACTCGATGCTATATCTTATTTCTTTCTCCTTGCCTAAATGGTCAGAACAAGAAAGGTAACAAGCTTTTAATATTTATAGCCTTATTCTTATGCAGCAGTGTCCAAGTGTATAGTAGGGATGATTCTAAAAAATCATATGAGATTGAGATTTTGCTCCATCGACAAATGCAAGATGCGGAAATATTACTTAGT